TGGGGATGTCCCCCACCGGGGTGTATGACAGGTCTGCGACCGGCCCGGGGCTGTCCCCCACCGGGGTGCGTGGCAGGTCTGTGACCGGCTCGAGGCTGTCCTCCACCGGGGTGCATGGCAAGTCTGCGAATGGCTTGGGGATGTCCCCCACCGGGGTGCGTGGCAGGTCTGCGACCGGCCCGGGGCTGTCCCCCACTGGGGTGCGTGGCAGGTCTGCGACCGGCCCGGGGCTGTCCCCCACCGGGGTGCACGGCATGAGTGACAGGGCCCCTACTTACATCAGCATCTTCATGCTTATTGACCCCGTGGAAGTAGAACGGCTTCCCGTTGATGAGGAACTGGTTCTGGGTGACGGCCACCGTGCGGATCCCCACAGGCAGGGTGTAGAAGTCAGATACGGGCCCAGCGGCCGTCTGCGCTGTCAGCCGCACCTGTGACACCAGAGTCCAGGTGAGGAACACATAGGATCCTCCCAGCCCACACAGCCCCCTCTGGCAGGAAGGCCCCTCGGCAACCACAGCAGCCCCCCACCAGGGCTGTAAGCAAACAGACACACAAAACAGAGGCCTCTGCTGCTCACAGGGGAGAGTTCCCTCGCTCCCCCAGCCTCTGGGGTCTGCTCTTCAGACTGGGGCCTCCTCATTAGCACAGAAAACTTACTCAAGCTGTGAACACTGAAGAGTCTAACTGTATGTGGCAACAACTGGAGTGGCTCTGGACAGATGAATGAACACAGCACCATCTGTCCACACCATGGCATAAGACACAGCCAGAAAGAGAACTAAAGAACGTGTTCCGTCCCTATGATGGAGCCTGTTCAGGCAGAGGGGCAGGAGGGCTCACGTCACCATGTGGGTGATCTTGACAACAGCATGCTCAGTGACATGTGTCAGGTGCAAAAGAACAAATACTGGATGGTCCCTCTTAAAAAGACAGAAACTGGACATGATGAGAGGTGACCGACCAGGGGCAGGAGAGTGTCTGCTGAGGGGCAATGAGTGTACGATAATGATAGTTAGAGAATCTGGAAAAGGACAGAGAGAGCGGATGTGCAATTTGAAGAATGTCATCAATGCTGCAGACGTGTCCACACGGAAACCAGTGCCGTAGCACAAGTTTTAGGTGCTTTTACCAGAATTTAAAAAACAAAACTGAGAAGGATTGATTTGTTTGGGAAGCTCAGCGGCCCCGCCAGCCCACCGGTCTGGACCTGGTGTTGAAGCTAGGGCAGGTAGTGGCAGCAAGGGTCTTTCTCACCCTTAACATGACCAGAGTCCTAGCCAGCATTACCTCCAATGAGTACAGGTAGGCAGGGTAGTCGTGCATCAGGTACGGCCACCAGAGGTGAGCACTGGGCACCTGCAGCTGGCCCCGGGCCCCCGAGCCCTGGGCCACGACCTGGCCTTCCTCATCCTGAAGGCGAACTTCCAACTGCGCATGTGGGTCGCCCTCTACGGACACCTGGTAATTCACCAGCCCTGCAGGAGACAGATGGGGCGGAGGGAGGCACGTTCCACCACCACCCTGCAGTCTCTGCAGGACCTAGATCTCAGTGAGCCACTGTCACTTCTGGGGTGCTGCTGTCAGGGAGGGACATGTGACTGTGGCCAAGAGCCCACTAGGCCTTGAAGTCCTCAAAAACCGAGGTCAGACTAGATGATGGGTGACGGCCACCGGGATGTGGAGTTCAGCTTCTTGGGTAGAGGAACTGCCAGGTAGGTGTCTGTCAGCCTGTCCTATCACGGTGGCCTGCCTCCTGCTCTTGCTTCGCTCAGACACCAGCAGGGTTGTCCATGGAAGACATGTTTCGGCAGACAAGGAAGAAAGGCCTGGCAATCAACACCTGAAAAGCAGCCTATGAACACACTAGGGACTGCAACAGAGCATTGTCTGATAAAGTGCCGGAAGAGGAGGCTCCTAGATGGGAAGTGGAAAGCACTCAAGATACAGCGTGGACAAAAACAATGGTCTGAGTGACCATGAAGTAGACCAGGACCACGCTCTGCTGCACGTGATGTCACCGTGAGTCAGGGTCAACGCAGTGATAAGTGACAACAGGGAGGGGGACCCGTGGGGGTGCAGGTGCTGGGAGGGTCCTGCTCCTGGGGGATCTTTCAGGCTTGGCTGCAGACAGAGCCCGCCGGAAGCCCTCACCGATGTCCTGGTCCACACCAGTGGTCACGGTGATGTCATCGATGTAGGTGGTGGGTGTGGTGTAGAGGAGCACTGGCCGGTGCAACCCCGCGTAGTTGAAGAAGTCGAAGTTCGTGTTCTGGATAAAGTAGCCCTTGGGGTACCTGGCAAGGAGGACAGCAGCTGAGTCAGGTGTGCCCTGCGTCTTCTCAGGGCTCAGCTAAGACCACCCTGCACAGGCTGGGGAGCGGGGGGCAGGGCGCGTGCCGCTCACTTGGAGGGGTCCGACTTGTAGAGGATGGTGCCTGGTGGCAAGGTGGTGGGGGTGAGCGTGTTATTGATGGCAATGGTGATCCGGCAGGACTCCGCGGGCCTGCCCTGCACCAGCTTGCTGATGTCGACCTCGAAGGGAAGGTGGCCTCCCTCGTGTTCTGCCACGTGGACCCCATTCACCCACTGCAGACATGGGGGACCCAAGGAGGGGTATCAGGCCAAGGCATGAGGAAGAAGATCTGCAGTCCCCACAGCCAGGGTACAGACCCCATGGGGGAAAAGGGCACCCCCTGGACCTGGGGGGGCAGCTGTCAGATGATGGGTGGGAGCCAGCAGCCCCAGGCAGTGTAACGCATAACCTTGCCAAGCTCACCACGATGGCATAGTAGTGGGCACTGCCAATCCGCAGAACCACCCTCGTGCCCAGGTCCTGGGTCCATCGCTGGGGCAGAGTTGTCTCCCGTTCGTACCACACCCAGCCGATATAGCCATGCAGCCTGGGGTCCTGGGTCATGTCATTGAAGCTGGAGGGGACAGGCATGTCCAGGACAGGACCCAACTGGTGGGAGAAGAGTCAGAGTCAAGGTCAGACCTGCCGAGGCCAACAGCCAGGAGTCCTTAGCTCAAGCCCTGATGAAACTGGCTGACACAGCCCCCACCAGCCCTGCTCAGAGGAAGAAGACGCTACCCTGGACTAGAGGCTGCTTGGCTGCCCCCCAACACCACTGTTTTCTGTGCACCAACTACCCAGTGTCCTTGACTCAGCTGACTGGATCTGCTCAGCCCTCAAGCAGTGTGCACATGGGGTGCTGTCAGTGCTGGCTACCCAGCCCTTAGCAAGGTGAAGCAGGCACTCGGGGAAAATAAATGAAGTTAGGAAACAACCTGATCAAACACAGGTGGTCAGGTGTGATCAGTGCCGCCCAGCACTGGGAAGGAAAGAAAGGCCAGGGCCTCCTGGTTACAAATCCCAGGACACCCCTTAACCTCTACAGCCCTGGAGGCACCGGGGAAGTGTTATGGTCCTCACAGCAGAGAAAGACACAGAGAGAGGGACACACACACACACACACACACACACACACACACACACACACAGAGAAACAGGGAGGGAGTGTGTGTGTGTAAGAGACAGAGACTGCTGTTCACCTGTGCCATTACTGGAGTCCCTGAGGAGTATAAAGGGTTAACTCACTTGGCGGCTAACTGTGAGGATGGAATTTCAAATCTAACGGGGTGAAAAGGCCTGGCAAATCTACTTCCAAAACACCAGGCACTGAAACACCTGTGGATGGTGAGGAGCATGTGGGGGTCTTAAAAACTTGTGAGTATAGCTGACATCCAAGCAGATATATGCACACCCATGTTTACTGCAGCTTTGTTCACAATAGCAAGGAGTTGGAAACAACCTAAGTGCCCATCAACAAACGAATGGCTAGAGAAGCTGTGGTATATTCGCACAATGGAATACTATGCTGCATTAAAAAACAAGGAACTCATGCAATATTATTCAAAATGGTTGACTCTGGAGAACATTATGCTGAGTGAAATATCCCAGTCACAAAAGGACAAATATTACATGATGCCACTGTTGTAGAATGGGACTGTCCTTGGGGTTGGGGAGAGACTAAGTAAGATGGGTTCAATAATGTATACTGCACTGAAACAGAGGAGGGAGAGAACCGTCTAAAAGAGAGATGTAACTGGGTATCTCTGTCATCACAGGAGACTAGAGCGAGGGCTGCATGGTGGAGGGGACCTGGGGGAGTGTTTGTAAAACAATGAAAGAATCTTTTCTTTTACTTTTCCATAATTTTTGGACTCATGTACCTATAACTTGTTAGTCAAATTTGTGTCTTCTAGGTTGCAACACCCCCATGATACATCTTGAAGGATATGTACATGTACAGCCAAGCACAATCAATAAGAGTGCATCTGAATTCCAAAATCAATCTCCATAATAGTCTGTGTGTTTCCTACTGCCAAAGGGGCCCTTTAGAGTAGTGAGAGAAGATCTTCACCCTGAAACCCACAGCGTCCCTTTTCAGCAGGAAGTAGCTAAGAGAATACGCCGTCCCCTTTTCCTTATGACTCAAGGGGAAGTCTCTCTCAGGGAGGAGTGATAGGGAATGGCAAAGGATACACTGACAAAGAAGATTAATCAGAACTGGCTTTGACAAGCACTGTGGCATTTGGACAAGAACAAACTGGGAGGAGGGTGGAGAGAGTGGTGCAGCAATGAATGAGTGGAAGCCCAGAATCTCTGTAAATGTTTATGAAAATTAATAAAATATAATTATAGAGAAAAAAAAAAAACTTGTGAGTAGCCATCTAAGAATAACTATTGTCGGTCCTCGTCTGGAGCAAAGAAGTGTGAAGAAAATTTAAGGCAAGACATACAGAAATAAAGCATCCACAGGACTAACGGGCTACGTGAGCCTCCAAGGGCCAGAACACCAAGACGGTCTGGGCTGCCACCACTGCTGCTCTAACAGAGAATATGCTAGAAAGTCTTGGAGAGAATGGGGAGATGGAGAGCAAAGCGCAAATCATTAAAAAATAAAAATAAAAGGTCTATGTTTCCTGGTCCGATAGAGACTAGCAGTACTTGGAACTGAACACACAACTGTGGCTCAATTTTCAGCCAAATACACAGACCCAAAAGTGCCTGTTCTAACAACATGAAAGAACAATCCAACGTTTCCAGTACCAAGGGCAGCATTTGCCCTCAGTCAAAGTTCAGAAGGCAGGAAGGCTTAGGAATGGAGGAATGGAAATGAGAAACACAAGGAGGAAATGGGGTGAATAAGGCTGTATGGGGGAGATTTCAATCAATGACATGAAATTAAATGCCTATAAACAGTGGAATAGAAATCTAATCTGTTCTGCAACCTTTCGCCAGCAATGTCTATGAAGTGTTGTGATTAGAAAACTGGCCTGCTCTGTCAACCCTCCCCCGATTCACAATTAAGTTCAAGATTTATTAAACACAATGTCTGACATGCCCGAGGCTGCCTTGAGTCCACCAGAGCTGCTTAACTGGGCACCCAGGAGGGCGTGGAGGTACCCTGCCCTTCACAACATCTTGCACCGGGGTTCTGGCATCCAGCAGCTCAATAAATACGTGTTGAAGGGATGGATAATTTGGGGGTGAGAGTTTAACTGCCAAGATGGAGTGAGCCTGGGCTTCTGGAACCAAATATCTCCACGGAAAAGTCTGCGCCCAGGACCCCAGCCAGCAGAGGAAGGACAGAACTGCTGCGATCAGGCGCTAAGTAAGTCAGTGACTCCACAGGGACCATCTGATGGGGAAACTCTGAGTAGGGCAACCCACTCCCCCCTCCTCTGCTGAATAGCTCAGAAAGAAAAAAAAAAAGAGGATCTGGGAGCGGCCAGTCCCAGAGGGGCTCAGACTCAACTCAAGCCAGGGAAGGCCTTGGCTGAAGATGGTCAAACCCACCCTCGCCCCCTACCCCACTGTCACTGCTGACCAGCACCCCCTCAACCAGGGGTCGGGGCCGCACACACATCCTGTCCACCACCTGGGCGCCTCAAGTTTCCTCCTCTGTCCGTTAATCCTTTCACTTCCTCTTGGCTAGCAGTGCAAGAGCACACAGAGAATGGGGCTGGGGGGATCCCGGGCGCCCCACTCCCACCTCCTCGCAGCTCCCGGGACCAGGGATCCTCCCCGCGGGGCGCTGCTCCCCGTGTCCGGGCTCCCACCTCGCGCAGCGGTCGCCGGTACCACTGCTGCACGAAGCCCTGCTGCCGGTTGTCGGAGAAGTCCGCTCGGAAGCGCCACAGGCCGCCGAGCTCCTTGCGCTCCCGCGACGGGCTCTCCCGGGGGTACAGCATGCCGCCCTGCAGCGCCAGCCCGCACCCCCAGAGCAGCGCGCCGAGCACGGCCGCCGCGGGGACCATGCCT